ATATCACATTTCCTTTATTCCTTTATCTGTTGATGGGCACTTGGGGTGGTTTCATAGCTTGACTATTGTGAATTATGCTGCATAAACATGGATGTACAGGTATCCCAAAGTATGGTGACTTTAATGTGAGAATATACCCAGGAGTGTATAGCTGGATCCAATGATAGATCGAAATGCATGGGGTCTTAACCCGAAGTGCCCAAATGAAATCCTGTTCCTACCACTTACTCGTCTGAAATTTTGGGCAAGTTCACCTCTCTTCCCTGTTGCTCATCTGTCAAATAGAAATGCAGAAAGCACCTGCTGTATGGAAAATTTCAATAAGCTAATACATGTAAAATACTTAAGGATTTCAATTAGCTAATATAAGTAAAACACTTAAACTAGTGCCTAGTACGTAATGAACATTCTATTCACATATATTAGCTCTTATCACTATTATTTAGGTTGGAAAAGAATTGAGTCATGACGAATTTACGTTCAAGGAGATTGATATTTGAGGGCAGGTGCCTGGAACCTCTGCATATCACCTATTGTGGCTGCAAACAGGTTGCAAATTCTGGAACTGCCACTTTGAGAGGAGCTCCCTATTTTGATTGTTTTTGGAGGAAATGGATCTTACACAGCGGCAGTTTTTTATTTTACTATTTTTAATGAGCAAATAAATTATATGTATTTTTCATGTACAAATGACCTTTCAAAATATGTATACATTGTGGAATGGCCAAATTGGGCTAATTAACATATATATTATCTCAGATATTTATCACTAGGACAGTTTTTTTTTAAATTAACTTCCTTTCTTTCTTTTCTTTTCTTTTTTTTTTTTTTGCCTTATTCCAAAGCAATATATGCTCACTAAAATAGTAAGCAAAGAACATACACAGAAAAGGAGGAAGAAGAAATAAAGTGCTGGTAATCACATTCATCAAGAAACAGTCAGTATAAGGATCTTAGAGTTAAGCTTTCTAGATAATTTTCAATGCATGTGACATAAAAATACACTTTGATCAATTTTTGAAAATCTTAGTGTTATGAATATCATTAGTTTCTGTATAAGAAACTACCTCGTTGGGCTTGTAAGTTATTTTGTCCTTTTAGCTATTGTAAACAACACCAAGATAAGCATCTTAGCACTCAAACATGTACATACATCTTTATAGCCAACTTCAGCCCTTTCCTTGAAATACAGTTTTGCAGAAATCAAATTTTCCCAGCTCGTTTAGGTTGTTCTTCGCCTTATTTTTGTTTGTGATTTATAATTAAATACTAAAATGCTTAATTGAACTTTCATGAAATTTTTAATCAAGTGTTGAAATAGGAATAGGAATTGTGAGAAGGATTTATGACAGTGATTGTCATTACTTCTTAAGGATTTTCCAAACCCAAACTGGGTATTTAGAAGGCAGCAGGCTGTAGGAAGGAGACTTGGGTGAGGCAGTTAGCATTCACGTTTAATTTCTGACTCAAGTACCTATTTGGAGTTATGACCTTGGGCTCATATTTAACCTTGGTGAATCTTCGTGTCTTCATAGGAAAAACCCCATTTATGACTTGGCTCCTGCTTGTCTTGTCTCAGTTCTCAGTCACCCCTGCCCTCAGTTTTAGGATCCAATCAGACAGCTACTCCACAGGCCTATCCCTGCTTCTTCCTTTGCTCAGACCAACCTCTGCTTCTGTTCCGCCATCCCCCTAACTCCTCCACACATACCTAAATAATTAGCACTGGTCATTTAGGGCTGGGGCAGGCATCACCTCCTTCTTGACCATGCCCTAAACACACACACACACACACACACACACACACACACACACTTCAGTTTGGGTTGGATGCTACTCTTCCTTTGTGCCAGGAAAACTATCCTTGCTGCTGTCATTTGTATTCTCCACACTGTAATGGAAGTACTTGTTTGATTTTCCTATTCGGCTGTTAGCCTATGAGCTCTTGCAGGAAGAGTGCTATTTCCTACTTATCTCTGCATCCTCAAGAGCTACACAGAACATAGAATCTGTGAGCACTTCAGGAAACTTGCTAAACTAGTGATAAATGAATGAAGGAGTACAATTATACCTATCTTACAAATGTACTAATGATCATAGGGAATAAGGTAAATTGAAATTCCTGGAATATTATTAGGTCAGGAAATGGCATCTCTCATAGCTTTAAAGGTAACTGACAGCAACTTTTGAACACTTGAAATGGTCTGAGCCTGAAGTTCTGGAGAACCTTTGTGTTTGTTTAAGTCCGTTGAAAGGTGAATTTCGTCAGCATTGGAGGAATCTCCTAGGACAAAGGACCTCTTGTTTAAGACAGCTAAGCCCAGCGATTAGTGGTAAGGCGCCAAGCCTAAGTGCTTCCAGGGCCTGGGGTCAGCTTCCCCAGACAGACCTCCCCTTTTGGGCCCCACACCTGGGACCCAGAAGAAAAGGAGGAAATGGGGAAAGAGGAAGGGAGGGAACACAGAAAAAGAGAATAGAACAAGACTCTGTATGGGGAATAATTGTAGCTTTTACACAACAGCTGTGTTTAGGATGAGACAAGCTATACATCAGAGTTCCGCAGCCCCCAGAGAAGTGCCTCCCAAACGCCTGTCACCTTCCATTCTTTCGGAGCAGCACAGCCTTCCTCAGCT